AATGCCAGAGTTATACTTTAGTAAAAAAGAAATAAAATGATATAAATTACTTATCATACAATTCACAATTTAAGCTATGCAATTCAATATTTTTGTATATTCACAATAAAATTTAAGAATATTTTAAATAGTAGGATTGTTCACAATGAAATTTTAGGATATTTTAAAATCCCTGAAAGAAATTTTGGATCTTTAAACAGTCAATCTCCCTTTTCCATTTTTCTCACTTCCACCCCAGCCCTAAGCAGCCACTAATCTATTTTCAGTCTTTATAATTGTGCCTATCCTGCACATTCTGTATAAATTAAATTATGTAATGTGTGGTGGTGTTTTGTGACTGGATTATATTTTACATAGCATGTTTTCAAGAATCACCCCTGTTATAGCAGGTGTCAGTACATCTTTTTTATTGTTGAATACCATCCTATTGTTTGAATGTAGCACATTTTATTTACACATTCATGAGTTGAAGAACATTTGGGTTGTTTCAACTATTTGGCCAGGATGAATAATGCTGCAGTAGCATCCATATATAATATGCATCGAAGAACAAACTGTCAGTAAAGAGAATTATGTGAGTAAAATTTTTAAATGTATGGTTGTATATTTTTTCTTCATTTAACTGATTTAAAAAGAATGCAAATGTATACAACAATGCATATTAATAAAATATTTTCCTTTATAAAACAGGAAATATGCTAGGCCCTAAAAATAGCAAGTTCAAAAGGAACAAAATGATATAAAATATGTTTTCTAACCACAATTTAATTTATAATAATCTAGAAAACTTTTAAAAAATTTAGAAACTTTACAAATGTGTTGAAAGTAAACAACACATTCCCAAATAACTAAGGGAAAATAGCAAATACTTGAAGAATAATAAAAATAAAAAAAAAATAACAATAGCTATAGGATGAGGTTCATCAGTGTGTAAAGAAAATATAATAGCTATAAATCCCAACACTAAAAAATAAGAAAGTCGTCAAATTAGCAACCTAATCTTCTGCTTGAAAATACTAGAAAAAAAATGAATAAACTAAAACAAAGCAGAGACAGGAAAATAATAAAGACTAAAGTAGAAATTAATTAAATAAAAAAGTAGAAACACAAAAATATAAACAAAACCAAAATTTCCTCTTTGAAAATTCAACAAAATAGACAAACTTTTAGATGTAATGACTGTGAAAAAAAGGAAAGAAAAAATTAAGACAAGAAAAAAAAGAGATAAAATACATTATTAAATCAAGAATAGAAGACAGGGTATTAGTGTTAATGCTGCAGAAACAAGATCATGAAGAATTATGATAAACAACTAATGCCAAGAAGATGGTTATGATAGATAAAATAGGCAACTTTCTAAAATAACATAAAGTATCAAAGCTGATTAAAAAAGAAACGATATATTCTAAATTGTCTTATAATAAGTAAAAAGACAAAATTAGTAAATACAAACTTTCCCACAAATAAAAATCAAGCCCAAAGAGCTTCATTGATGAATATGAATACTTATTTGTATAGATTAATATTTTTCCTCATATATTGGGGTTTTTCGGGCATTATATATTTATAGGCTTTTCTGTCATTTTATCTCTCTACTTTTATGTACTCTCATTAAAGCTATATTTTTGTGCTTAATGGTTTCCAAGGTTTCTCTTAGACTCTATTTTTCTTTTTGTCTCTGCTCTTCATATTGCATAATTTCTATTACTCTATCTTCGTGTTCCCTAATTCCTTTTTTCTGCCATGTCTAATCTGTTGATCCCTTCCAGCAAGTTTTTAATCCAGTTAGTCTATTTTTCAGCTTCAGAATTTCTGTTTTGGGTTTTTTTTTTTTTTTTTTTTTTTTTTGTAATTTGTATCTCTTTGCTTATATTCTTATTTAAATCTTTACAAACTGATTTCTCTTATTCATTTTAGAAAAACAAATATATATGTTTTTTTAAGTCATGTGTGCTACATCTTCATCTCAGCCCCTTCACGGGTGTTTCTATTGCCTACTTTTCTTTCTGTGTGTGGATTAGACTTTCCTGTGTTCTTTTACCTGTCTCAATTTTTTGTTGAAATTGGATATTTTAGATCACATATTGAAGCAATTCTCAATACTGATACCTGCTATGGGAGGGAGGGGTGCTATGGCTGTTTGTATGGCCAGTTGCATACGTGTTTAGTGAGTTGGCTGAACTAATTCTTCAAAATATTTTTGCAGTGTGAAATCTTTGCTATTCCTGCCCAAATATTTTTCTCTCATTTTGTCTTTTAGGTGGCTTCCTGGGTTAGCACAAGCCACTTGTTGATCAAAGATTGGATGACACCTCTGTGGAAGGTTAAATTTTGCTGTTTTCTGCTGTGTTGTTTGTATGCATGTGTGTGTGGCTTGAAGGCAGCCATCACAAAATTTACATTTTTCATGTCACATTCAGCTCAGAACTAGTATAAAGATTCTCTCCTTCTGGTTGCTGTTGAAAAGATCTCAGCCTTTGTCATTCATAAAGTGTTACAGAGTGTGAGAACGTTTTCCTAGTTTCCTAATCGGAGTGACTTCTAGGTTCTTAGGTTAGGGTAGCTTATTGCTTAGTGAGTGCTCAACACCCTTGTGCCAGTGGGGCTTCAGACCTGAGTTGCTGGGTCTGTGTGTAGTTTGGTGAATGCTTTCAGGTCTGCCCCTGTTCTTGCTCTGATGCTCCTGAGGGTGAAGCCTGCCCTATGCACACAGACTTCCTAATCTCCAGAATCGTTGTCTTTGGTCACAGAATAGCTTTTTCCTCCTTGTTCTCTCTGCCAAATTTCTGACTGTTCTGCTGCTCTTTTTTTAATCATACCCACAACTTTCTCTTAATTGGTCTGTAGGAAGAGCTGCATTATTTTCCGCAAAGGCCTTAGGCATGGAGTTTTCCACTCTGTTCCAAATGAAATCACTCCCCTCAGCCACAGCTGTGGAGTTTCTTACCTTTCCGGTTTGTCTTTCCCTGTGATCAGAAGCTTTGCAACACTGCTCCAGAATTAGACGAATGTTCATTTCCCAGATTGGCAACCCAACTCTACAAATTGGCATTGGGGAGAAGGGGCTGGCAGTCTTTCCTGCTTATCCCTTCTGGCTTGAAACCTTACTCTACAAGTGAGCTAGATCAAGTACAATCATAACTTCAGTATTCTCAGCCTGCCATATCTGAGATAAAACTTCTTCTGTATAAATAAGGGCTGGATGGGGAAAAACAGAGTAGTCCTTTCTACTGTGCCTTCCTGGAATGGAGCTGCTGTAACTTTAGACTTGGGATCATAGATAAGAGATGCCAGCAAAGTATGCCTCTAAGGGTTATGCCATTGCATCTGAGAGCTGGAGTGAGAGGAAGTCCCCATTGTCAGGGCTGCACATGCCCAGGGTACAGCTACTGTATCATGAAGATTGGCATGGGGTGATGGAGTAAAACTTGGATCAGATGCCACAGACTTTTTCCTTTTAACAAAGATTTAATACATTTTCTTGAAGACATATTTCTCCACTTGATGTGCCCTAAGGACAATTTTAAAATTAAATTTTGACTTTATAAAAAATTTTCTCTGTGTAAATTGTTTTTTTGTTTGTCTAGTTGGTTGGTTTTTTCTTTTTTTCTTTTTTTCTTTTTTTGCTGTGGAGATAGTTTATTGGGGAACTTATTTCTTCATTCCCTAAGTCCTATTCCCTCAGTTGTTCTGAATCACTTCTATTAAATGTTTTCATTCAAACCATAATATATTTAAATCACTTAAATACAAGTTTTATTTATCTATATTAGAATAGCTTAAAACAATTTTCCTCTTCTGTCATAGGCAGAATATGGTATACCAAAGATAGCCACATCATTATCCCCAAAGTATTACCTTTCCCAGAAAAGGGAAATTAAGATTGCAAATGGAATTATGGATGATAATCAAATAACCTTAAAGTGAGGAAATTGTCCTGTATTATCTGGGTTGGTCCAATATGATCAGAGGTCCTTAAATGTCAAAGAAGAAGGCAAAATGAGTTTGTGATGGAGCACTGTAAAGTGAGAAAGACTTACTGGAAGTTGTGGGCTTGAAGATGAAATGGGAGTGTGAGCTAAAAAATGCATTCAGTCTTTAGAAACTAGAAAAGGCAAGTAAACAGTTTCCTATAAAACCTCAAAAGAGGAATGAAGCCCTAATGATACATTGATTTTATTGCATTGAAGCCTATTTTGGACTTTTAACCTCTAGATCCTGAGGTAGTGAATTTGTGTTGTTTTAATCTACCAAATTTATGTTACTATGTCACAGCTGCGGTAGAAATCAAATACATCCTATATTACCTGCAAATATCAATTCTATTTGTCTATTTGGAAACAAACAAAAAAAAAAAACTTACACAGTCAGAAATCATAAAACAGAATGCCTCATGGCTCTGAATTAAGGTTTTAAACATATATATATATATATACATATATATATATTTAAAATATATATAAAAAATATAAAAAATATACCAATTATAAAAACTATATATATATATATATGTATATATATATATATATATATATATATATATACACAAACTAGTTTCTTGACACAGTCCAAAATCACAACCAATACTTCTAACTCAGGCTTTTATGTATTTAGCCCTATGAGAAAAGACAAATCTCAAAATCTTAAACATTATATTGCTTTCTGATTTCTTGAAAACATATTTTGGGAGAATATTAACTGTACAAGTGCTAAAATCTAGTAATTGTAGATAATGTCTGGCATAAAATGAAGCCAATGGAATTTAATATGTCAAAAGAAACAAAAAAATTACTAAGAAGGAAGCTGGACCTAAGGGAAACATACACAGTTTCAGTTACTGCCCTTGATACAAAATCTGTGTGGAATTTGAGAGCTGCCAATAAAAAGTGTTTTAATAAAAGTAATTTAGTAACTAAACATTTGTTTTTGAGTTATTATTTTTCTTGCAGATCAATTAGTATTTTTTTAAAAAAGAAATCCGGGAATATAATTCAAGATTCATTTAAAATCATTGTATTTCTTATATACTTCATCAAACACATAGAATCTTCACAAAGTACTTTAGCTTTTGATGATTATCTCCAAAGTAAGGTGACTTTACTGAATATAAACACAATATAATTACATCAGTTGGAATCACTGAACTTATCTGAGCAGAGATAAGCACTTGGCAGGTTCTGGGCAAAGAGCTAAGAAATTTGGCTTCAGGAAGAAAGAAAAAAAAAAAAAAAAACAAAACCCAGGTTCAGTTGCTCTCAATGATCATCTTGTTAAATTTATTTAATCACTTTCTACAGTAAGGTTTAGTTTGGAGTTTCTCTTTGATTTTATGGAATAATGTGAGTGAAGAAGGAAACAAGCTAATAAAGAATATAGCATTTAAAATTACACAGTATCATTTACCTTCTCTTCACCTTCTTCTTCCTCTTTCTAATTCGTTTAGGGAATGGAAGTGGGACACTGGGACATATTGATGTTCTCTTAATTATTTTCCCTCTGGGATTTTTTGTTAATAGTCCACTTTCCCTGTTCAGGTAATAACAGATAGTCGTCTTATTATTGAATAACTCTTCAGCCTTCTCTTTGACATTCATTAACCATGAAATATTGTGCTAAGAAATAGGTCTATTTTTTTTGACACCTTCTTGTTTGAATAGAGATTAAAGTAACTTTTTATTTGTTGTCCTTATACTTCTGTAACCCTTTGTTCTTCTGAGACTTGTGCATCTCATTCCTATTTATTTTTGGTTATGTGTTTTTATTTCCATCTTTTATGCATTTCATTTAAGTTTTTTGAGAAGTTGTACTTGTTGGAGAGCTCCCTCCTTTTTCATATTACTGCTTTGGCATCCCTATTTTTCATCATAAAAACACTTTAATTGCATGAATAGACATACGTTTTTCAGAGCTTCTCAACTCTTTTAACACTCTTTCTTCCAGTCTTGAAATATGGAATTAGTCCAATATACTCTCTGAGTTGACATCATGTTTCTTTCTATCACTTTCATGAATGTCTCGTCCTACCAGTCTCTTTCTTAATGCCCATTAGTATGCAAGGTTTGGTAAACTTTAACCTTTAATTTTCCTAGGTAGTAGCTTTCTCTTTGTCCAAGATATAATATTTTTCACTTATGATAACGTTGACAGTCATTCTGATTTCTTCTTCTTCTCCAAAATGTTGTGAAAACAGGTGTTCTCTTTGTATTATTTCTTTATTCCATCTAGGGGTTAGATTTCTTTATTCATCTAATCTGACAAATTAGAGTGTAGAAAGAAAAACACATAGCATTTGTTCATTTCTTTAAGCACCAATATATTGATTGCCCTAAATGCAAAGACACTGTGGTGGTCCCACTGAGATTATGATTATTTTTAACTATGCAGTTTAAGTATAGCAAAACTTTACTAGCTTTGGTAAAAGCTGATGGTGGATGTAGTTTTATCCCTTTTTCTCTAGACCAAAAATGGTCTAGAGAAGATTATGTGGGAATATATTTGACCCAGCCATTCCAGGGTTCAATTCCAAGTCTATATTCATTAGCTTATTTGAGACATCTAACTTGGACTTTCATTGCTTAAAAGAAATAGTGCTGTTAACCAAATAGCAGATTTTCTGTTTGTTTTGGCTAAAAGGTCTTTCTTAACCATGTTTCCCAAGTCACCATAAAGAAACATGGTAGAAGGAATAAAGAACTAGGAAAGGCATAGATTACTGTAATTAGAAATTAAGTCAGTAAATAAAATGATATACTCACAACTGATATTATCATAGGAATCAGCTCAATAATCTACCTTAAAAAACATAAACAAATCTTCTATCTCTATCTCATATTTTAGTTACATGTAAGATATGTAAGGTATATAGAAAATATACCTTATTTTCTCCACATTCAGTGATATCAGAAACCTATGACGGGTTCTAGATTCTTTTATTACTATATGACATGTAATCAATTATCAATTTCTGCTGAATTTACTTTCAACATATGTCTCAGTTATAGGCTAAACTAATTAGTACATCAAAGTCAAGGTTATATAGACCAATGTGGAAGAGAAAATTAAGCAACCACGTAATTAAAATGATGTGTTGTAATGCTTATATAATGCTTTGGATAGGATTATGTGGAAATATATCAGTTTAAGTCAATTCTACCAGGAGCAGCACAAACCTAATTTAAGTACTATTCACAAATAAACATATGATATATTGTTCATATTATATTATAATACATTATATTATAATGTTGATGTCTTTATCAATCTTTTTGTTTTCTTTTATATTTTGATATAACTATATATACTTCTAGAATAATATACATGCAAAAATGTTTTTGTACAAATTCTGATTTAACCTCAAGTATAATTCTCAAGTATAATTGGATTATTGTGAATATTTTCATTACTAATCATAATAATTAATAATATATTAGTGATGTATATGTAAATTCCTAATAACAAAATTACAGTTTTAAAGGTACCCAAAGAAATGCCATTCAATTTCAAGGTTTTAGTTCTAAAGAAGCCATATCTTATAAAACTAATTTTATTTCCCTTTGAAAATGGAAATTATAATAGGTTAAATCTGTATTTATTATTAATGTGAAAAATTTTAAGGATATTGAAAGGAAATAAAGACTTCTTTACTAACTTTTGTATTCATTTATTCATTCATATGTTTCTAACTCTTGATTCCTCCAACGCCTCCTCCAGCCCAACTGTCAAACACCTTCATTATTCAAATCTCCACTTAAGTTCCCTTCAGTGAAGCATTTCTTCATAGCTAATTATGTCTTCATGCTCTTTCATACTTGTATTAAATTCAGTGCAGAGTGTCACTATGGCAATTATCACATGCATTGTAATTGCTGGGTTCTGTGTGCTTAACTATAAGTTAGAATTATGTCATTTCATCTTTATATTTCCATAGGCTGGCATATCAAAAACTGCAAAATAAATCACTATAGAAATCATTGAATGAAACTTATGGTAGAATTAACTAGCATGATGATATAAATTGTCACAAAATAAACTAAGATGTCTTTACAACAACAAATTAATTATCCCTACTTGTTTTGAAGCCTGGACAAGGTACATCATAGGATAAGGTGCAAGAAAAATTTCAAGGAGAAATATTTATCTGCTATATTCACAAACATCTAAAAAGGAAAGCCATCTGGTATTAAGAAGAATTCCAGACAAGCAATGGAAAAGAAAAAAAATGACTTGACAATGAGGACAATTTTTTCAAATGCTAATTTCTCATGCCTTGCCAATTCAAAATCATATCTCTCTCAAATAATATTTGGTTTCAATGCCATATGATATACAATACACATATTTCTTCAAGGTTCCAAACTGGAATGGCAGAACAATCCATAGCACAACTTGTCAAATTGATATGATCTATACAAGCTAATAACTGTAAATGGACATGACCTATACATGTTAATAACTATGAGAGAGTATCAACCAGGAGAATCTGTGACTAAGGCATAGTGCAAATAGCACCAGTTATTATCAGTGAATCAACCATTATTTCCTGCTAAATTTATTTTTTCCTCTTAGCATGATGACTTACACTCAGAAAAGGAACTTTCTAGAAACAGGAAATCAGCATGTGTGGTCTACATAATTTAGCTATTATTCCACCTAAGAACATCACTCTCATATAGCAGGAAATTGAAAATGATTGAATCATCGTGTGTTATTATTTCATAGGCATCATTTGCTATATTTCTAATAATAGCACTGTAATATAAAACCATTGTTACTTATAGTTTCTCAATGCAAAAATCAGTGGCCTTATTTTTTGTCTATTTTTCATGCTCATGATGAATGAAAGCTAAAATAGAAAAGAACACAATTACTTTTTATTTTAAAAGGAAAAGACTTCAACCTGTGGTTTCCAAATTGTTCACACAGATAACAATAGAAATCTAGGAATAGCAAAGAAAATATAGAAAAGAATACTCAGGGCTACATAGAGGCAGATTGCAAAAGGATGGCAATATTAACCTTTCAGATATATAAATTGTTCCACTCACCTGAAAAAAAGAGGACCTATTCTCTGTTCTACATTAAATAGCTAGAATAATGGTTCTTAAAATAGGAAAAAAATATGTCAAGATGTAGTTTTTTGTTTAAGATATCTGCTATTCACTGACCTCTGACCAATCAAAAGGCTGCAGGTTCTGCTTTACATATACCCAAAATTTTATTCATAATTATGAAAAGTTCTCACATCTTACAGTCATTCATAAGCTCCAAAATAGTTTTATATAATTTACATGAAGTTATCCAGCTGTAAATGAATACAAATTTCTTTTTCTATTTAGCTAGGAAATGTAATTTATTTTATTGATTTAGAATATAGAATGATTCTGTTGTCTGAGTTAATTCAATATCAAACATTTAAAGACTTAAAATTTTCTTAACTTTATCACAGCAAAATAAAATAATTTAATATACAAATTCATTGATCTAAGTGTAAATTTGAAAATTTACTCATTTCTTCATCCCAGGCACTGTGTCAGATATGTGCTTTCTCACTTATTCCTTCCAGTGACTGTTTAAAGTCAGCATCATTACCACATGAGGATATTGAGGCTTAGGAAAGTTAGATTAGTTGCCTGAGAATGTGCAGCTACTAATGGTAAAACCTAAAATCTGCACTTTTATTTGTCATAAATGACCACCTCAACACTTAGTAAATATCTTATACAGCCAAAACACAAAGAAGTGACCAACTCACTGATAATTCCTGTTCTCAATTAAATTCAAGTAACAAGAAAATTTGTGTCACCCAGAAGTTAAGTGAACATTTGTTTGATCACACTGAGCAGCGTTCTACATAGGCAAATTGATTTATGGAATTAATTCATAAATCTACTCACAATGTGTTATGAAACATCAGCTGCTAATATAAGATATAATTATGACATATATCCAAAATTTCTTGTGTATTTAATATTACTAGAAATATTCAATGTTTCATCTTAATTCTGTACATGATAATTTCTTGACATATTTTCTTCTTTGTGGGAAAACCTATTAAATTCATCAAATTTAAGACAGCATGGTCTGACTCAAATAATATTGGCTCCTGAGATTAAAATGTTGGGTTATTTCTAGAATACTTGAAATACATTAAAACCTGAGAAGTTGTTTTTGTTTATTTTTGGTAAGTTTTCTTGCATAAATTCCTAAGGAATATGAGAAAGAGATAATGACCTTGAAGTTTTACTCAGAACCTCCCAGGAGATTAACGAAGGAATTAAACTGCAAATCCAAATATGAGAAGCTATTTCCATTTAATGGGCATTGCTGAGTCAGTGACTTTCTTATAGCATAACAATATTACCCTCTTCACTAAATATCTAAAACCAAATAATAAAAAATTAGCTCCAAATCTTTAAACTTCATGAAATTTTCATTTTTCTCCAGCATCTCAACAGTCATATGAATTGTTGGAACTATTTGCCTCTAATAGTGTATTTATAACCACATATTTGCCATTGAGAGATAGCAGTAAGTTAATGTAAAATCTCTAATAAAATATAACTATAATGCTCAGTACCGATGTTATCCCTAAGAAAAAAATAACTATGATTACCACAAATAAATGTATATACAGCTACTTTCCAAAAAATGAAGTTATATCATGGACAAAACGATATTTAAAATTTTATTTGAAACTACCTTTTAGTTAAGTAAAAAAGCCAAATTTTGAGTCATTTGTTGGATAGTTCTTTACTTACAACATTCATAGTACATCTCTGCCCTTGAAGTCTATACTTAAAGCATATGTTGCTGGGGCCAGTGGGCCAGTGGCTCACTCCTGTAATCCCAGCACTTTGGGATTACAGGAGGATCCCTGTAGACAGGAGGATCCCTTGAACCTAGAAGTATGAGACTAGTTTGGACAAGACGATGATACACCATCTCTAACAAAGTAAAAAATAAAGTGTTAAAAATGTATATGCATTACTCATTACAGAATTCAGATCAGTCTTCCGGTGATCTTAGAAGGGGTGGGGCACACATGGAAAGAACTTCATATTCTACATGAAGAGGTATTCTAGAGGAAATAGAAAGATCTTCAGCTTGGAGTAATTCAGATGTAGCTTCAAATCTCTGCTTAATTAGTAATTCTACACTCTAGGGCAAGGTAATTAATAATCTGAATTTTGACGTAACATACAAAGGAAAGGAACTGATACCTACTACATACCAAGCTATATTATTAATAATATCTAACAAAAGCTCCAACTGAAATACTTGTTGAATACATCTGAGAACAAGGAAAATGCACACTTGTCCTGGAGAATTATAGTAAAGATTATCAGAAATAAATTGTGAGAAAGAAAGTCACATAATTCATGGCAATTGAAAGCATTCACTAGGTCTTTGTTTCTCTCTCCTTCTGTATACGCTTTTGTTATAAAAAGTCTTGAGAGTCCCAGATTGCTTGCCTTTCTTCCTATCTCTAAAGACTATTCATCTATATGAATTATCTGTATTTGTGACCCTTTGGTCCTTTCCTTTGATTCAAATTATTGGGTCTAGAGGAGTGATTCATGAGGTTGTCTAAAATTGGGTTATTTGGAATTGGTTAGAGGAAACTTATTTGGGTACATGACATTTAAATTTTGATATTTTTTTGAGAAATCTTGCCATGGTCAAGAATATTAATTATAAAATTTTAGCAACATGTATTTTTCATTGATAATTCTTAATATTTTTCTCATCTGTTTCACTTAATGTACTTCTATATGCAGGAATCAGTAACTGCTTTTGAATCGGCTTTAAAAGTAATCTGAATTTATTTTCTAAAATAAATAAAATTTAATTTTTTATTTGATTGATCAAATGATGTAGTCAGGGATCAATGTTATTTATGTATTTTTTAGCTCATCAGCTTTACTTTGAATTCTTTTATGGAAAACTTCCATTTTCCATCTGAGACATTTCTGTCTAATATTTTCCCAGACTACATGTTCCCATATTCAAATCTAGCAAAAAAGAAAAATTAAGCTGCACAACTCTAATTTGATTTCTAACAAGGGAAAGGAGTATTTTTAACTGGATTATACCAATCCATCATATTTCTGGATATAGAGGTGAGGATCGATCTAAATTAAACCACATGGCTAAAAAAATATGAATTAATGTTATTAAAAGAAAGGAAAACAATAAACACCAATCTCCATCCAATTTTTTAACCAACCAATTAAAAATCTCCTTCTCATGAATGCCTTTAGAAAATGTCTAATACTATAAAAACATATCATTAACTCCTCCTAAAAAGGACACAAGAAACAAAATATGATGTGTAATTATACTCCATTCTATAGCTGAAATATCTGGATGATATTCAGTTTTCTTTGTAAAACTTCTCTGTAGCTCACCATGGTCTAGCAGCCTGTCATTAACTGATAAGTTGAACTAGGCTCAGGATGTACAATACATTCACTGGAACAAAGCATAAGGAAGGTAGAATAAAATACCCATTTGGAAACGCATAATGGCCACTAGGTCATAAGTACCACAGCCTGTTGAAATGAAACAACAAACTATTCCTATGCTGTTATATAAATTTTTTGTTCATTTGTTTTGTTTCGTTTTTCCAGTCTGAAGCTTTGAGTTGTCTTTTCTGGAAGATGCTGCCTTGAACATTGCACTTCATTCCTGCTGATTTGTCTGTTCTTGAGTAACTTTTTTGAATAGTTGTCTCTATCGTTATGCCACTATTCTCACTGTTCCATAGGGCACCCCTGGTCAGTTCATGATTTAAGGTCTTGGGATGGTTTCAGGACTTTAGCAATCACATATTCTAATTTCCAGGATTTGGCTGGCCCTGACAGTAGAACCTATGGACAGAACAGAGGCCTCACAAGTAATACCACACACCTACAACCAACTCATCTTTGACTAACCTGACAAAACAAGCAATGGGGAAAGTATCCCCTATATAATAAATGGTGTTCCTATAATCCCAGCACTTTGGGAGGCTGACGTGGGTGGATCACGAGGTCAAGAGATTGAGACCATCCTGGCCAACATGGTGAAACTCCCCGTCTCTACTAAAAATACAAAAAAATTAGCTGGGCGTGGTGGCGTGTGCCTGTAGTCCCAGCCACTTGGGAGGCTGAGGCAGGAGGATTGCTTGAACCTGGGAGGCGCAGGTTGCAGTGAGCCGAGGTTGCACCACTGCACTCCAGCCTGGCGCCTGGTGACAGAAGGAGCTCTGTCTCAAAAAAAAAATTAAAAATAAATAAATAAATAAAATAAACGGTGTTGGGATAACTGGCTAGTCATACGCAGAAACCTAAAACTGGACTCCTTCCTTACACCATATACAAAAATTAACTCAAGATGGATTAAAGACTTAAATGTAAGACCTAACACCATAAGTACCCTAAAAGAAAACCTAGGCAATACCATTCAGGATGTAGGCATGAGCAAAAACTTCATGACTAAACACAAAAAGCAATGGCAACAAAAGCCAAAATTGACAAATGGGATATAATTAAACTAAAGAGCTTCTGCACAGCAAAAGAAACTATCATCAGAGTGAGTAGTCAACCTGCAGAATGGGAGAACATTTTTTGCAATCTATCCATCTGACAAAGAGCTAATATTCAGAGTCTACAGGAAACTTAAACAAATTTACAAGATAGAAACAACCCCACCAAAAAGTGGGCAAAGGATATGAGCAGACCCTTCTCAAAACAAAAGACTTTTATGCGGCTAACAAGTATATGAAAAAAAGCTCATCATCACTGGTCAAATGCAAATCCTGGTGGAATGCAAATCAAAACCACAATGAGATACCATCTCACATCAGTTAGAATGGCAATCATTAAAAAATCAGGAAACAACAGATGCTGGAGAGGATTTGGAGAAATAGGAACACTTTTACAGGTTGGTGGAAGTGTAAATTAGTTCAACCATTGTGGAAGATAGTGTGGCAATTCCTCAAGGATCTAGAACCAGAAATACTATTTGACCCATCAGTCTCATAACTGGGTATATACACTAAAAATTATAAATAATTTTACTATAAAGACACATGCAGATGTATGCTTATTGCAGCACTATTCACAATAGCAAAGACTTGAAACCAACCCTGATGCCCATCAATGATAGACTAGATAAAGAAAATGTGGCACATATACACCACGGAGTACTCTGCAGCCATAAAAAACAATGAGTAGCTGTCTTTGCAGGGACATGAATAGAGCTAGAAACCATCATTTTCAGCAAGCTAATACACAAACAGAAAACAAAACACCACATGTTCTCACCCAATAAGTGGGAGTTGAAAAATGAGAACATATGTGCACAGGGAGGGGAACATCACATACTGGGGCCTGGTTGGGGGTGGGGGACAAGGGAGTGGATAGCATTAGGACAAATACCTAATGTAGATGACAGTTTGATGGGTGCAGCAAACTACCATGGGACACGGATACCTATGTAACAAACCTGCACATCCTGCACATGTATCTTAGAACTTGAAGTATACAAAACAGATAAACAAACAAACAAAAAGCCAAAAACCTCATCAATCTAGAATCACATATCTAGCAAAATTATTCTTCAAACAAAAAAGAGAATTAAAGCCTTTCTCAAACAAACAAACAAAAAAGAACCTATGGAAAAACAAAAAGGGTTTATTTTCTGTCCATTTTGAATCAATTCCAGGGGTATATTTCAGTTATAATTTTTAGTCTCTGACAGATCATGTTGAATATCCCTATTTTTAAACATTAAAACTTTGTCTTTTGCCTATTCCTTCAGACTTCATTTTCCTGTAATTTGCTTTCATTTTAACCTCTGCCTGGAGGAGATTTGAAATAAATGTCAATGATTTGTACCTGTCCCTACATGGCATTCAGGTTGCACTGTCAAAAATTGTTTTGTTTATCATAAATGATGGTATTTGCCAAGCATAGAAAAATTATTAGGCATTTGTGAGAGATTAATGGGGCCAGGTTTCTACTAGAGTCCCAAATTATCTTTTTCTAATTTTCTATATCTCAGAGTTTTTCAACTGTATCAGGTTCCAGATTATTTCATTCAGTTGCTTTTATTTATAGTCTCCAGGTAGAACAATCTCCACTGAAAAAACCTTTTTTTTTTTTTTCACTCTATGACCTCTTTGGCCAGTTCTGTAGTGTGATTTGCTACATAAGAAGCTGCTAAAAGATGCAGAAAGTATTCAGTAAACTCCAGTAGTGTGAAATTGGCCCAAGTTTCCTAGTGTTGTAGTCTAAGGTAGCACATGATCTGTGTTCCAAAATATATTTCTTCATATCATATAAGGGTGAAAAACGGATTGCTGATTCCTATGCTTAATATGATTATCACTGTTTCCACTAGAGAGGGAAGGAGACAGTGTGGTAGCATATCATTTCAACTTCAATAAGCTCCCGTCAAACATTCCCTCAGTGCAAGCAGGTAAATACAAAAACTGCTGTAAAATCATTAAAAAAAAAAAAAAACTCACATGATGGACTCTGTGGGTTTAAATCTCCTAGCCTAAGTCAAGACAAAAAATTCAGAAGTTTCTTTCCCCCAAGTGCACGATTACCGTTAACATAGGTTGGGGAAGAAAAGGAGAGAAGGTTTATGTAGGCAAAGCCTGGGAAACCATGAAGTTATGCTAGAGCAGAAACAGACTGACAAGCAATATTTGAAAAATATCGCAGAAAGTGAGTAAGTGCTGAGCAGACTTACTTGTTCCTTACTGGTGAGAATCGTTGTATTTGAGACTGCTAGCATTCATCAAGTTGGGATATTCTTCTTCTTTGATGCACAACTTGACCGCATTTCACAGGCTCTCTTGAAGATAGATTTGATCAAGTTCCTCAGATGTAGTCAATGAAAGTTAAGAGGAGGTGGTCTAACACTCCCTTCACTCTCTCCAAATAAATAACCTCCCAAAATAAGTCCTCCATGTTCTCTTCAGCCTGACTGCTAAATGGATAGAGAAAATCATGCTAACCTAGAAAGTTTTATGTTGAATATCACAGAATGTTCTTCATCTTGGGTCTCTGAATATGTGAAGCAGACCACCTGAATCATCTGAATTCTGTTCAAGATTCTTAAGTAAGCAAAATCCTACACTAATTGATATGGCAATCAGTATGTAGCTTAATTGTTATACGGTGGGCAATTATAAAACTGATATCATGGATTGGAAACAATTCCTGTGTCACGCATTCATTCAAAACAATCAAAGCACTTGATGATACCATTACTTCAGTAAACCAGACAGCAAAGAGCCTTTCATTACTGTATGCCTAGGGCAAGAGTTCCAATAGAGCCCATCCACAGAGAATTTTAGTATTGTTGCCTTTAGTAAGATTTTAATTAAAAAAAAAAAATAGCTAAGATAAGGACTTCCTGTTTGAGAGCAGAAATCTAAGGTGGTAAGATTCAAGGAATGAAAGCTTGCAGATAAGGAGAAATCAACTCTTACTGGGCCCCAAGCTCTGGAATGCAAAATTTTCTACATAATTGTATTGTTTTATGTCATCTCAAATTTGAATTGACTCCTATTAACAATGAGAGGGG